TGGGAGGGAGATTGGGGGCAGGGGAGCTTATTAGTCCCATAATGACACGGCTCCCAGGGAGAGCGTGGTGGTGATTCCATGAACAGAAAGTGGCAGGAGGCCCTGGGAGAACCCAGGGTTAGAGACCAGCCCCCCAGCTCTACCCAGGCCCCCTGGGGCCACCAGGAGTGGTTGGGCGCGTTCCCAGGTTGATAGACAACCTTCCACCTGCGGTTCAAGCAAGTCACACGGTTGAGCCCAAAGTCCAGGGGACCTGGATCCTGGAAGAGGCTTTGGACCTTGACGGCTAAGTTAGGAACAGCTTGTGTTTGACCAGCCCCTCGAGCAGGGTCAGGGCATGTGGTCCATGGATGCACCATCAGCCATTGCATTGCATCACTGCCCTGGGGCAGCTGCTGGGCCGGTCATGCTGAGGATGGGGTGCTCTGAGGATGGGGTGATGTGTGGAAGGCAGGCAGACAGACATGAGCAGAGCAAGGACGATGGGCCAGGGTGGAAAGCCCTGGGTGCCTAGCAACGGACAATTGTGGGTGGGACCTCACCCCCAGGTGACTTGTCCTCCCCTAGCACATCGCTGGTCATGCTGGTCATGCGGATTGGACCCCCTGGCCTTTCCTCCCTGGAGGTAACGCCCAGGCCTCAGTTGCATTTCAGCTCCAGGCCCAGAAAAGCAGCAACACCAGACAAGCAAGACTTCACAGCTGGAGATGGGCAGACCCAGGCTTTGTATTCAAGCAGTTTAATCTGGGACTCATATTTTTAAATCATCACTGTGTATCACTCCAGCACCATGCCAGCTTGAGTACTTCAGGGCAGGAGGTGTGGTTTAAAAAGGTTTCATGTAAACCGATTTCTTTAGGATTTTTGGAGTCATCCCACACTCTCTCTAGAGTCAATTTGACTCCTGTATTAGGTCTGGAACCACCTCAACCCTCCAGGGTCAGAAACAACTAGGGTAAACACCAATCAGGAAGGACATATGCACCCCCATGTTCATAGCAGCACAACTCACCATAGCTAAGATCTGGAAACAGCCCAAGTGCCCATCAGTAGATGAATGGATCAGAAAACTGCGGCACATCTACACGACAGAACACCATGCCGCTGTAAAAAGGAAGGAACTCCCACCATCTGCAACGGCATGGATGGAACTGGAGAGCATCATGCCAAGTGAAATAAGCCAGTCAATGAAGGAAAAACACCACATGATCTCACTCATTCATGGACAATAAAAACCACCACAAACTTACGAACAAAAACAGATACAGAGGCAGAGCTGCCCCGAACAGACTGCCAAACTGCAGCGGGAAGGCCGGGGAGGGCTGGGGGGCAGGAGAGGGGGGCGGGGTAAGAGATCAACCGAAGGACCTGTATGCATGCATATAAGCACAACCAATGGCCATAAGGCACTGCGGGGCAGGGGAGGCCAGGGGACTGTCAAGGGCGGGGGGAAAAAGGAGACATATGCAGTACTCTTTGTAATACTTTAAGCAATAAAAAAAAATAACAATAAAAAACAAAAGAAAAAACAACAACTACGGTCTTGCTGCTGAAGATGGCACTGTGACGAGCAGCCTCAGCACGTACTTGGGAGCTCCTGAGGAACGCAGAATCTCTGCACCAGAGCTGCTGAGTCGGAGTCTGCACCGTTGGCAAAACCCTCAGGATGCACATTAAAGTCTTAGAAGCAATAGTCAAAAAGGGAACTCAAGGTAGTTCTAAACCACAGCCACATGTTGGGATCCTGGGAAGCGTTAAAAAGTCCTGATGCCTGGATCCCAGCCTGAGATTCTGATCTTTGCAGCCTGGACACCAGGAATTTGAAAAGCTCTCCGTGTGATTCTAACGTGCAGCCCAGGCTGAGGGCAGCTCTGAGGATGCTCTGTGTCCTCAGAAACTCCCCAGGGTTCTTTCTCCCCGACAGTGGAACTGCCTCCTGGGTTGGGGGATTAAAAATCTTCAAAAGATTCCTTCACATGTCAGTAATCATTTGGTTCCTTCACTACCCCCAGCTTATGGTAGTGATTTCAGCAGTGGAGCAGTGATTGTAATAGAACCAGCATGGTTCAGGCAGAGCTGACCTGGGAAGGATGAGATGTCCTTGTTTTCAGTCACAGGTAAAATAAGTCGCACTCACCCGGGGAGAAGAAGAGGCTTCAGATGGAGAGCTAATTGCCCTGAGCCTCCTTGTTTGGAAGAGCTGTCATCTACTAGTAACTACGAGGCTCAAGTGCTATCCCAGCTGCCCAGAGAGGCGAGGCCTGTGTGGCAAAGGATGTGACAGTGAAGAAGAGCTGAGGTTTGAAGTAGATGCCCACCATGTCCTTGCGGCAGCAATGTGCAATCCGCTGTGCAATAACCTCTGATTGCCCTTGAACCTGACCTTGCAGTAGAGCCATGGGTTGTAATTAAAATGTAGGAATGCCTGTCTGGCATGGCTGAGTGGTTTGACTGAGTGTCGACCCGTGAACCAGGAGGTCACAGTTAGGGCACATGCCCAGGTTACAGGCTCGATCCCCAGTGGGGGTTGTGCAGGCAGCCAACCAATGATTCTCTCCCATCACTGATGTTTTTATCTCTCTCTCCCTCTCCTTTCCCCCCTGAAATCAATAAAAAGAAATATTTTTAAAAAATGTAGGAACTGGTTGTCTAGGGCAGGGAATTTATTTATGGTCATGTTTACACATAAGAAATAAGTTTTGAGGAGGCAGGGTATTTGGTACACTCTGTGGTATCCTTGGTGCCCAATACCCAACACACAGTAGGTGTTTTGTAAGCATTTGCTAAAGAACAGCTGGAGGAGGTGACCGTCCTCCACACCATTTACTGAATGCTCTCTGGGTCCCAGAAGCTTTATAAACATTATCTTCTCTAGTCCTTGCTGGGGTCCAACCCCAGCAGGTCCAGGGGTCCCCAAAGGTGTGGACGGAGTCGGCGAAGAAGGAATGACACGGAGACAGCG